CCCGATACTCCTTTGGGGATGGGGCGGCGGCGGCGGCGGCGGCGGCTACCGTCCGGCGCCCGAGCGAGAACGGGCTGGACTCCAGAGAAGTCCCGTCTGTTTACTCTTCAGGAAAAAGAAAGCCAGATGAGAAAAACTTCAGGATTTGCCTTTGTCGTTAGCACAAGCAGCCTTCTGATCGCATTAATCAAAGCTAAAGATTTGGGGGCGAGGGAGGGAGGGGTTTCTGCATTGCTTTGCCATGATTTAATTAACTTTTCTTATTAATTAACAAGTTCTCTGCACCCAGTTACAAGCTGTGCCTCACACGATTGCATTCCCATATGGTAAGCCACAAACAAGCAAATCACCTAGAGTAGGGTATTAGCTCTTGATGTTGAACACAGACTGGTTGTTACGAATTTTGCTTTTTAAAGAACACACACAAAAATCATAACTTCAAGGTAAAACCGCATATCTATTTCCCACTCATTCTGTTGGAGTTTAATCTGTTTTCTAGTGCTTTTTCATGTTTATAATTCACTTCCGTTCCTAGTCCAGTGCCTTAACCACTAGACTAAATTGGCCCCAAGCTTGGTCTAGTAAATACTGTAAAGCCCTGGACTAGGAGCAGGGAAACCAGGACTGTAGTCCTGCCTTAGGCACAGCAGCCAGCTGGGTGACTGTGAGTCAATCTTTCTCTCTCAACCCTTGGAAATTGTGTTTTTTAATGTGGTAGAAGACAAAAATTATGAAATGCATGACTTGAAAGTACACATACTATAGTTATCCTAACATCACTTAGATCCGACAATGCATGAAAGCAAATTTAGAGTTGGTCCTGGGCCCACAGTCAAAAGCAAAGTGCAGAACAGCCTGGAGAAAGTTACTCACATCTGATTCAGTGTATATCACCTACTCCAAGTTTTATGATGTAAAATAAAGTCCCTGCTAATACTGCTGCTCCTTTCCACTCCCTAGATTCTGTCCTGTGTATTGTGATCTTCCACATTCCATGTTTTAAATTCCACATTCCATGTTTTAAACACGATATCCAATCTTTTATTGAAAGATTTCAAATACTGAAAGCATATTTGAAATATTTATATAGCTCCTTTTGTGTGAAATAAGTTCACTGTTTTGATTTTTCCATAGCGCATCCATTTCCATGATTTCTCCTCTGTGTGAATTCTTTAACAGAAAATAATCCGTTTTCTGTGACAAATCTTTTCGGGCTCAAAGTGTTTATACTCTTTCTCCCATTTGGATCCTTATATGAGAAGTAAGTGCACTGCTCTTTCCTTGTTCTCTGCAGTCATACTTTTCCCCCATGTGACTAACCTTATGTCTAACAAGGCTACTGCCATGCTTGAAACTTTTATCACATTCCAGGCATTTATGTGGCTTCTCCTTTGTATGGATCAGTTTGTGGGCCATAACATTACTGCGCGTGCGGAAGCTCTTTCCACATTCCATGCATTTATATGGTTTCTCTCCGGTATGGATCCTTTTATGGGAAGTAAGATTACTGTTTTGGGTAAAAGTCTTTCCACATGCCATGCACTTGTACGGTTTCTCTCCTGTATGGGTCCTTTGATGGGAAGTAAGGTGACTGCTCCAAGTAAAGCTCTTTTCACACTCCATACATTTATAGGCTTTTTTCCCTGTGTGAATCATTTTATGTCTCATCAGGGTACCTCCACAACTGAAACATTTCCCACATTCTGAGCATTTATATGGCATCTCCCCTGTATGGATCATTTTATGTACCCTCAGGTTACTGCCCCTGCGGAAGCTCTTCCCACATTCTACACATTGATATGGTTTCTCTCCCGTGTGCATCCTTTTATGGCAAGTGAGGGCACTGTTCTGATTAAAACTCATTCCACATTCCAAACATTGATATGGTTTCTCCCCTGTGTGGATCCTTTGATGGCAAGTAAGGTGGCTGCTCTGACTGAAGCTCTTTCCACACTCCAGGCATTTATATGACCGGTCTCCTCTGTGGATCCTTGCATTAGAAGCAAGGGCAGGGGTTGTATTAAAACCCTTCCCACACTCCGTGGATTTACATGGCTTTTCCCCATAGTGGATCCTTTGATGGGAAGCAAGGGCGGGGCTTCTACTGAAGCTCATTCCACACTCCAGGCATTTGTATGACTTCTTCCCAGTGTGGATTCTCTCATGAGAAATAAGGTCACTGCGGCTACTGAAACCATGCAATTTCTCCCTTGCGTGAGTTTTTTTATGTAAAATAAGCAGCATTCTCTTACTGAAAGCTTTCCCACACTCGTCGCATTTGTATAATTTCTCCTCTCTGTGAATCCCTTCATGGGAATGATGGTGATTTTTCAGACTGAAATTCTTCCCACATTTTATAAATGAATATGTTTTCTGGTTTTTATATAGGTTCTGATGTAGTGAAAAAGAGAAGTTACGACTGATACTTTTCCTGTGCTTCCTACCTTCATACTGTTTCACTTTAGTCTCCGTTCTACAGTGTTTACTTAATCTGGATTTCTCTTTCTGTGTTTTACCACATCCTGGATATTTTCCCTTTCTTTTCCCTTTCTGATCTTGTTGGGTTGGGAAGTCATGGATTTCCACACAGAGAGAAGTGGTGGATTTCTCTGAGTGGCTTCTCTCTGGCCTTTTTGACACCCCATGCTTTCCAAACATCACTTCTTCCTCTTCATGCTTTGATGGTCGCAGTGGCACTAGTCCTGGCTCTTTAGAAATCACTTTCTCCTGCTCATCACCTGCATGAGGAAAAAAAGGAGAAAATCCCATTCAAAACCTTGAGCAGAGCTCAAGGCCATCATTAGACTTGATTAATTAATTAGCTCATTAGCTGCATCTGTTATACCAGTATCTCAAAGGTTTCCCCATTTCTTCTTTCGGCATGTTGATGAAATGATGTCCTTTTGTACTGTTTCATCACTTGATTTGATTTGATTTTTTATATAATGTTATTAAAGATTTTTTAAAAAGAAGATAAAAACGAACTAAGTAAGAAAAAGAAAAGAAAAAGAAGGAAATCAAAGAGAAAGCTAAAAGTGCAAGAAAGGAAAAAAGGAAAAGAAAAACAGAAAAGAAAGAATACAGAGATAGAAAGAAGTAGCTTCTGATCTTCTTTACAGCACTTATAAGTACAATTAAAAATTTACCTCTTACTTTATGGTTACAACATAACTCTCTTCTTTCTGTAATCTATCCTATCTAATCATCAAAACATAAATCATAATTTCATTTTTTTCTCTTTTACACAAAAAGTCCATAAGGGGTTTCCAATCAGCATAAACCTAGATGTTGTCTTTTCTCTGATCAAAGAAGTCACTTTAGCTATCTCAGCAAGTTCCATCATCTTCACCAACCATTCCTCCTTTGTGGGTGGTGCCGAATCTTTCCATCTTTGTGGATATAATAATCTCCCTGCAGTTATCATGTACAAAAACAAAGTTCCATGACTTTTTCCCAACTGTTTGTCCATCAATCCCAAAAGAAAAACCTCTGGTCTCAATTGTATATTCATCTTTAAAATCCTCTGAATCAGTACATCAGTGGTGCCGAATCTTTCCATCTTTGTGGATATAATAATCTCCCTGCAGTTATCATGTACAAAAACAAAGTTCCATGACTTTTTCCCAACTGTTTGTCCATCAATCCCAAAAGAAAAACCTCTGGTCTCAATTGTATATTCATCTTTAAAATCCTCTGAATCAGTACATCACTTGATTTTATGAGACATTTGTGTGTTTTTTCCCCTTCTGGTATTAAATTCTATAATACAGTACTAAGTAATTGAAAGCAAGGTGGTAACAAGGTTAGACAATCCAAAAAAACCCAAAAGTAATGTAATTGTGGTTCTGTTATATTACTGGATTACTATAGAAGGTAATATCCATTTTGGTGGTACCTGATACCACAATGAGATGGACCAAGCCAAAATTAATCCAGAGATCATTTTCATGCAACTGGGAATCTGCACCTTTGAATGTCTGCCTTGGCACATCCCTCCTCAGCCATACCCATACTAAAATGCAAAGAAAATTCTGGGAATGTGATTTCTTGAGCACAAGTTGAAATTGCAACATTCTTTATCTCAGAAAAGAATCTAGAGGTGGTTCTGTGAATGAATGACTGAAGCTTTATGGTAGGAGTAGGGATTGTTAATCCTTTCAGTTATAAGAAGTTGGTGGAGTAGGGTGGATGGGCTAATTCGACAGAGGGGGGAAAAGTATGCAAAAAATCGCAGTCTGTCTTTCCCCTGTGTGGCCGTGGAAGAATCATGCACCTGATTACTCAGTTTGCATGTACCAAATGCAGTTGTGCTAAGAATGGGCACTTTATATTTTAGGAGCAATGGAAGCCCTAGTCAGGCACAGTGAAGTTAGAAAAACATTATGCAGGTAGCAATCAACCCTATCTAGCCCTATCTATGTGGTTGCTAGGAGTCGAAAACTACTTGATGGTGCATAATCAATCAATCAATGAACAGCCCTACCCTGATGCCAGTAGTGTGATCATAATTCTTTAGTTACGTTCAGAATGGAAAGGAAAAAAAATCAGTATATCAGCTCCTTAATGTGGAAGGCTGGATGCTAACAGGTAGCAAAAAAAACACAGAGCTACTCAAGAAATGGAAAATACATAGGCTTAAGGAAAGAGGACTGAGGCAGATTGCAATTACATTTTAGAAAAAAGTTAGCAAGGGCAGGTTGACGATGGAACTAGTGATCCTAAGAGGTGTGGGATCCCTTTTGTTGGATGTATTCAAGCTGGAGCTAGAAAACCATCTCTGTGGGATGTTTTATTTCCTGCACTAAGCAGGAGATTGAGATGGATTCAGCTCCAGGGTTCTATGGAAGAGCTGCAAGCAGGAACGCAGAGAGAATAAGACACACCTCTTCCAATGTTCCTTATTTTCTCTGAAGATGAAGAAGGACATCAAGAGTTGGTGGCCACCAACAGAAGGTTTATTCTCTCTTTTATTCTTTCTCTCAGCTCCTAATAGTTGCAAAGGAGCAACTCTGCCTGGTCAGTGATGCAAAGAAGCCCAAGGAGAGATTTCCTGAATACTTCTGATTACAAAATCCCTTCCCCAATTAACTGAAATGCAGAGAAGGTCCTTACCCAAAGCAGTCATAGTCCTATAAATCTCCAGCATGACTTCCCTGCAGAAGGCTCTTTGGCTGCAATCCAGCAGTGCCCACTCCTCCTCTGTGAAATTCATGGCTATCCCCTCAAAGGACGTGGAGCCCTGAAAGAGGAAAAACATGTTCCTTAGAAGATGGCCCCAGAACAGACTTGTAAATACTCTTCCTTATTTCAGAGATCCTAAAAGCAAAGCTTTGGATGGAGTTATGGGGAATTTCCTTATAAGAATACATATGCTGAGTTTTGTATCTGGACAGTCATTGGACACTAACTTATAACTTTCAGATGTTGATGACAGTATATTCAGATATACTGATGACAGTATATAAAACATGGAACTACTTCTGGAGAGCTTTCTGCTGGTCCAAAATGATGCAGCAAGTTTGCTGAGAGGAGCAGCATCCTCAACCCCCACTTGCCTTGTGAATAAATTACATTTTACTTCCAATAGCTGCCTAATTAGGCTTTCTGTTTTACATAGCAAATCCCATTCTCACTATTTTTAAACCTGATGTTTCTATCTGTGGGTAGAGTTTTAATCAATCAACTTGTTAGACTTCACTGATTTGATTTTTTTAACTGATTGCAAGCACTCAGATATAATGCAAATACATTTGTTATTTTTCACCCTCTCTGTGATATTGAAGGATTCATTATTAACATAGATACTGTAAATATCATAGGCACCCTTTCCATAAATCAGTTATGTTCCCCAATACAACCCTCTCAGGTTGGCCTACAGCTTTCTTCTCTTCTTATTAAATCTACAACAATATGGCAAGGTAGATCAAGTTGATTGTGCCTCAAAGGGCACAAATTGAATCTCAGTCTCAACACCCTCTCTTGCTAAGGAGCATGCAGGGCGCTGAACCCCACAATAAAAATTGGGGCCTCCAAATGGTCTCCTGATCTGATGAAGCTCCCCTACCTGAGTTGGAGGCACAGCTGCTGCTGCTGCTGCTCCACCCCAAAGAGAAGATGTTTCAGTTATTTCCATTGAAATCTTTCCATTCCCTGTGAACAAGAGAAAGACAGTGAAACAGACTAATCTAAAGCCTTGAGAATAAGTTTTGGGAGGCACTATGCGCACATGCCATCTGATACAGACGCAGGATTTGGTGTAAAAGAAGCTCGTGAAAGGAGGTCTGGCTTCAGTGCTCTCAGAAGAACCCTTCACTTACATGGCGAGGTAGCTAGAGTTGGAGGCACCTGGAAGTTCTGCTGCTCCTGAGAGGAATTGGACAGATCTCTCCTTCCTTCAGGGTGTTCTGAGACAACCCTCATGAATGACTTCTGTAACTGAAACACAAACCAGGAGTTTTGGATAACAGAAGTTAAGACAAGGGAACATGGGAATGAGGGAGTTCTTCTCCCCTTCCAACCCTGGAGACTCCAATGTCCACTGGTGAAGATAGAAGTAGCTTGAGATTGCCCTTCCTCCTCTGAAACTGTCTGAAAGGGAAAACATTTTGCCTAAAGAGGAAAAACTAGCAAGTTATCACTCCACATAGCTCCCAGGATGGAATTCTCTTACCTGTTTCATTCCCAGTTCCTTGTCTGCTGCCTGACTCAGGAGGAAGCCTTCGACCAAGGCCACTGCCTGGGAACAGGCCTCTGCTCCACATTCCCTGACCCAGCACTCCATCTCCATGGGCAGGACAGCCAGGAACTGCTCCAGGATCACCAGGTCCAACATCTGAGCTTTTGTGTTCCTTTCTGGCTTCAGCCATTGATAGCAATGCTTGTAGAGTTGACTACAAACATCTCTGGGCCCCTGGGCCTCCTGGTAGCAGAAATCCCGGGAGTGCCAGCACTGAGCATCTGAGCTGAGGGTTCCCTCAGGGAGGACCTTCGAGTGGGTTCTTCCCCAAAAGTCCTCTCTGTTCCCAGGCCAAATGGCAGGAGGGACATTTGCTACTCCCATCCCTGAAGACCTTTGGACCTCCATTTCATCCTTCTGCACAGGCATAGTTCAGAATAGGGCAAAGGCTCTTCTGGCTTCAGAAAGCTATTTTCATTCACAAGGTCCAATTTTCATTAAGAGCCTCTAGATAAATCTCACAAGGCCACTGAGCTATTTATCCCTAGATAAGCAGATACCTGATGCACAACCAAAAAGGTTTTGAGTTCCCTGAGAAGGGAAAACAATTGGAATACAGAGCATTGCAGTCCAAAGCCAAAACATAATGCTCCTGTTGAATAAGCTTTATTCCATTCAACTTCCAGCATGAAAGTTTGGGAAGAGGGTCTGCGACCAGCCGCCTTTTCAGATAGGATGCAGCTTTCCCCTTCCCTCTCATGCCTGACAAGCAGCCAAGTCTCTCCAGGCAACAATCACTTCCTGTCCTCTGCCAGAAATGATCCCCAGAACAGCAACTGCTCCAGCGCATGCTCTGTTGCATACGGAGGCTGCAAAGCTGCCAAAAAATCAGATTCTGGTAGCATCTTTTCCAACTAACAACTTTAATTAAAAAGCATAAATTGTCATGAGCTGCAGTTCACAAAAATTGGTTTGCCGGAAAAAAAGGTGTTATCTGACTCCTTCTGATTTTTTGCCACCATACACTAACATGGGTTTCCTCCTACAACAGAAAGCTGCCTGGATCCTAATGCATGCAGGGAGCCTCATGTAGGCTCTGCTGTGATTCCTGGGCATCCTTCAGGAAATGGGAAGGGGGGCATGATGGATCTGGGTGGAAGGTGTATGGGAATGGGAATGGAGAGAAGCCCCGCCCCACTCCCACTCCAGGTCAGAACTGGAACCGGAAAAACAGCAATCCCAATGGGGCCAGAGAGTTGCAGTTCCTCAAATACCTCCATTTGCTTCCACCTCGCACCAAGCCAAGTGAGTCGTGTTTCATGTGGCTGGGCTGCCACAACACCTTAAGGCACAATCAAACAATCTATAGACTTGACAGTCCTGATTGTGCTTTTCGAAAAAACTTTCCAGGGCTTTACATCTGGAACGGATGGCACAACAGCTTTGTGATTATTTAATTTATAACTTTTACATGCTGTGTTTTGTTAATTGTCTTCCTAGCTGCTTGAATGCTTTTTATGTTTCCAACTAAGACTGTGCAATTCTTCAGATCTGAAAAACTTAAATATTAATTGATGCCTCACTTGTTTCATTCTGGAAACATTTATGAGAAATGGTTGGAGAAATGCTTAGCCTGGAGAAGACTGCAGGGAGACAAGAGAGATGTTTTCTAGTATGAGAAGGGCAGAAACGGAGCAGAATTGTCCCAGTAGACAGGACCAAAAAAATGGGTTTAAATTTCAAGGAAGTAGGTTTCAGTTCTTTCCACTGAAATGGCAGGAGCCATTCAACAATGGAACAGACTGTTTAGGAGTGGTAGATATAAACATAGGATGGATAACCATCTGTCACAAATGATGTAGTAAGGTTGTCCTTGACTTATGACCATTCATTTAATGACTGTTCAAAGTTACGATGGCACTGAAAAAAGTTACGACAGGTCTTCGCACTTACGACTGTCGCAGTGTCCCTGTGATCTCGTGATCAAAATTCGGGCACTTGGCAGCTGGCATGTATTTATGATGGTTGCAGTGTCCTGGGGTCATGTGATCAGCATTTGCAACCTTCCCAGGGGGCTTCCAACAAGCAAAGTCAATGGGGGAAGCCAGATTTGCTTAATGACCGCAGCAAAAAAGGTTGTAAAATCAGGCACAACTCACTTAACGACTGATCACTTAGCAAATGATGTTCCGGTCCCAATTGTGGTCGTAAGTCGAGGACTACCTGTAATGGCTTCTGGATTGGGCCAGGGGTTGGATTAAATGATCACCTAGGTCTCTTCCAACCTCTTTCTTCTTTTAGCTTACTAGTTTTCCTAATCATCCATTTTTTTCAAAGCAGTTCACATGCATTCCCTTCTAGACCACATCAAAATATTGGGCTTTTTTCTAATCCCATTGTGTCTATGGATTTTCATATGTGAAAGAATACTGACAAATATGCTTTATGTAACAGCATATCTATTTTTTAATACATGTTAAACAGCCAACATTCCATTCCATTCCATCTAATTCCTTTCTGTCTTTTACACTGTCCCCAAACCAACCACTCCTTTCCAGATGAGAGCAAACGGGAATCTCTCCAAATTAAAAAACAGATTTTTGTCTTGAGAACCATATTTTAAGGATTGAAGAGCCCGTCATTCCTTCCATCTGAACAATACATTCCTTACTGTGGTGTAGCATAGGAGAAATTTCTCCGCAGGGTTCTTTAATAACAGGGATCAGCCACACCCTTCCACTGAAGCAAACACTGTTTATTACAGCACTGGAGGCAGCAAAACCAAATGCAAAAGTGTTTGCAAGAAAACAACCAGCTCAGAGAACCCCAAGGACTCCAAACATCACATACCGGCTGGGTTCACACAACACATTAGACTAACACCGGTTGGTTTTTCCGTGGCTGAATGTGCTGTGTGGACACAAGCAATAGAGAGAATTCAGTAGCCCTGCTTTAGCACGGTGATGTTGAGGAAACAACCCTTTGTGAACTCTCTTGGACACAGGGGCTGTCCTGCTTTGTCCAAGACACACAAAACAGGTACACAAGAGTAACAAAACTCAGCAAGCAAAGTCAGCAGGGAGGGGCTAGATCCTGTTTCAAGGCAAGATTCTGCCAGTTTCTGTGCACACGGCTCTATCCAATGCAGGGGATGGTCAGGAAGTGACATCATGCAAGTCAAGTCCCACCTCTTTGTATGGAAGGGCACAGCGGGACTGTTGTGACAGAAAGATGTTCAGGGCCTGAAGATGCAGCGCTTGGCCTCGGGAGTGAAGAAAAACTTCCGTTGTGGGAATCACATCAAAAAAAGGGAACAATTAACAGCCTTATGATACCGCCCCCCTGCACGCCAAGTCTGGAAACAGAGAAACACTAAATGGAGCCTGAGGAAAGTCAACCCCCAACTGGGGCCTGAAGCCTCCCATCTGAGGGGGGACTGGGACCCCCAGAGGAAAAGGCAGAGTGAAGCTCCAAGAAGGAAGAAACACAGATCTTGAAAGGAAGCATGTTTGTAGGTGGAAAAACAAGAGAAATAAACTCCTGGAAAACGTTACCTCAGAAAGTGCACAAAGTTGCAGAAATTGAGGGTGGACAGGCCCCTTCTGAGGAAGAAAAGCCAGAAAGTGGATTTTTAAAAAAAGGAGACAGAAAGAAAGATGGAAGTCAAATGCAGATCGATGAATAAAGCTAATGTAATAAAGGAATGTGAAGAGAAACATTTGTTTTATGAATGAATAGAAAAAAACAACAAAAATTCTGCTCATCAAATATGAAAGAGGCAAAGAGAAGGCTAAAGTAACAGCATATAGGCCATCCTGAAAGTCTTGAGTTCATAAAATAACAATTGCCTCGGAGGAAAAAGAAAACAGAAATCCAGTTCTAGCTAGAGCAGCAGATACAGGAATAAAAAAACTCCCCAATTTGAAGCACATAATCTGGCTTTAAAGACGCAAGAGAAACAGTAAGCAAATTCAGCTGCAGTTGGAGCTATAAAGGACGCAGCATAAGAAAGAACTATGCTCTTAAAATGGCTCCTTGTCGTCAGGTCCACACTGGGGGAATTTGCAACCACTGCTGCTCTGTTTTAATACCGTCTGCATTTTATTGTTAGTTCCTCCCTTGTGCTTGATCCTCCATGGGAGGTTAAAATACTGCTCATACACAAACTTTCACATTTCCAAACATTCATATAGATATTTCATGAACTGATACCCTTTGGATTTCTTACCCAATTGCAGTTTTTCATGTGATGAGAGGAAGTAAATAATGAAATATCTGACTCAGGAGTAACAACACTACCATTATTTAATTACTCTAATTTCATTTTATGAGAAGACGAATGAATGAAATTAAATTTTTGATTGGTCCAGGCTTATTTACACACAATGCAACCTCAGCCTGGAGGAACCACATACAGTATTTGGTTCAGTTTCCCCTATATAAGTTCTGCGAGGGAAGTAAGGTGCCTGCTCATACTGACACTCTTTCCAGCCAGCCTTGACTGTGATAAATTTTTGATATACATTAAAGGATCTGATATTGCATTTTGCGCATTTAAATGAGATCTCCCCCATGTAGATCCACATAAGAGGCTGGTCTCACTGAAGCTCTTTCCACATTCAGAGCATTTATAGAGTTCCTCCCACATGGCGTCTTTTATGTGAAAAAAGACCACTGCTCTGACTGAAGCTTTTTCCATCATAGATTTACGTGGTTTCTCTTCTTCAATCCTTTGAGATAAATTAAGCATCTTCTGTAACTGAAGCTCTTTCCAAGCTCAGAGCATTTTTATGGTTTCATCCCTGTGTTTTTGATGTAACAAAAACAGCTTTCCATAAATGTAGTTCTTTCCATTGCAAGCATTTATATGGCTTCCAAGTGTGGGTCCTTATATGAAAAGCAAGCACTCTTTCCAATGCTCTTTCCATACTCATTCTTATGCTTTTTCTGTGTGAATCTTTTTATGCCTAAGAAACCAACTACCTTGGTTGAAACTTTTCCCACATTCCATGCATGTATATGGCTTCTCTCCTATATGGATCATTTTATGTGCAAAATAGTTACTGCCACTATGGAGGTTCCTTTGATAGGAAGTGAAGCTACTGCTCCGACTGAATCTCTTTTCACATTCCATGCATTTATATGGTTTCTCTCCAATGTGGACCCTTTTATGGGAACTCAGATGAGTGCTTGTTCTAAATGCCTTTCCACACTCCATGCATTCATATGGTTTCTCTCCTGTGTCGATTCTTTTATGTTTCAGAAAGCTACTGCTCAGACTGAAGCCCCTTTCACACTCTCCACAATTATATGGTTTCTCTCCTGTCTGGATCCTTTTATGGGAAGTAAGATGACTGTTCCTATTGAAACTTTTTCCACACTCCAGGCATTTATATGGCTTCTCCCCAGTATGGGTTCTTTTATGGGAAGCCAGAGCACTGGTC